CACACCAGCCCGGAAGACCCACACCAGCCCGGAAGACCCACACCAGCCATCGTATGCCGGCCGTGAAAGCCTTCGACAATACATGTCAATGGCTACTTTTAAGGTAGATACTTATTATATTAAATCCTAGTTCAGTCAATCCCATATAGGCCAAGATGGCTACATTTGGGCGCAGTCATTCCAGAAGGCAAGGTCACACTGCATATCTGAGCAATGTCTCTTTCTGTTCCTAGAACTGAACAATGAAAGAGGAAATGATGCAAGTCTTCCACCAACAGATTATTGTTCTACCTTTCCTCCCTGCCCCAATTACTGTACTTCAAGGCCTGAATGTGCTAGCAAGAAGGAATAAAGCTACAGAGAAGAGGTTGTTAATTAAAATGTTTAAGGGCACACTCTAAGGCTTCTTGGAAGTGGCCTGGCTTCCTTTTTGTCAGGTACAACTTTTTAGGTAACAGGAAAGATTCCATCTCTGATGGATAATAATAACAGTCAATGATAGTATCCCATCAACAAGTAATTTACATGAACTGTTTGAAAAGTTCTCCTAACTTGAAGGCTACAGAGAAGAATCTGTCCTTGCAAGATCACTCCTCCTACCACTTCAGGAGCAATCCTAAACATTTTCTCCAAAGCACTGTCAACCAAGCCAGGATTTAATTATCACAAAAAGACCATTATCTGTTCTGTAGCACTAATAGTTATCATATTTTGTTTGGTGTTTTAAACACCTGCAATTTATGTTTTCTGAAAGCAACTTTGTCCATCTTCCTAATGATCTGGCAATAACCTCAATGGAAAAACAAATTGTATTGTTTTGCACTCCATCTAAGCTCACATGTTATTTCTAGTATAAAGCTGTCAATTTTAAGGGTTGAGACTTCTGTTCCACCATGTCACCTCCATTACCATCAGCAAATGCCAGACCAATAATATCTGTCTTCCTCATGACTTTGTTAGCTAGCCCAATTCAGCTTCCTGGGTTTTTTTTTTCTTGTAACAAATTGCAGTACAGAAATTAGCTAAAATGGGTGTGATGATCTGAAATCTGGAAGCCTGCAAACAACGTTGCAGAGAGACACAAACATCATCAGGAGTTTCCCAGATACCATGGCTAGAATGCTCGAATACCACAATGCCTTCTTCCCAGAAAACATTACTTCTCCTTTTTCATTCTCATCTTTTATAGATGCCTAAATTCCAAATCTTTCTGGGGTCCTGGGATGCCTCTGAAGTATCACAGGTAATATTCCAATTATCACAAATCCCCCCTCCGTCCAGCTTGTTAACTGCGATCCTAAGAGCTGTCATATGTGAACAGCAGAAATATACTGACCCTGAATAGGACTTCAGTCTTGATCAATGTTTTGAAAAAGACAAACCAAAAATCAAATTTCAAGGGCCGCCCACAAGGATCACAAGCAAAATAGTAGCCAGGTCAAGGGGATAGCCTCAAGAATTAAAACTCAAAAATGTGTTTTTAGCATCAGAAGAGAGCACACACACAATATTCACATCTGCTTTTTCTCCCCGCTTTCTGCGTCAGTGCAATCTAATTGTAGCAGGAGGCAGGGAAACCTCTGACTTGTTGCCGTTCTTAAAATATCACTGGGCATCGGAAACTGGTTGAGCCCAATCTACATTCTGCTTATTCCTGTGCAAAAGGGACTCTCCTTGTTTAATCAACAGCTTCTAGAAAGCAAAAGGAGGGTGGTGGTTTTTTCCTTCCTCCACAGAGCAAAAAACATTTAAAATCAGCTGTTGCAACCCAATCTAGAAATTAACTGTTACCCAACCCTGAACAGTTGTTTCCATCCAGTGTTTGAAATCTGGATTTTAAAAGACAGTGAAGAGCAACAGGACTAACAAACGGGTCTATCAGACCTCTGTGTATCCTGCCAGGGCCTTCATAACAGCTGCCATTACCTGAATTTTTACAGGCAAAACAACTTGTTACATTTAAAATGCGAGACACAGTGAGAATGCCCATGGTATATTTTGATCAAACCTATCAGGATGAAGAATCACATCACCGATTACTTCCAGAGTCATAACCTTGTTAGTCTGCTAGATCTAAAAGAACAGAATCCTTTGGCACCTTATGGACAAACTATTTATAGCATAATCCAATAACATGTTACACTATAAGAATCTTGCTTTGGAAGAATGTACCAAGGGCCACAAGGACCTAGAGGTGGAACTCAGACTTTTCTGCACCGCGACTGTGGCAGGCTAGAAAGAGCTATGTTGTCTTGATGCCGCTTGACCACTACTTCACATTGCCATAGACATACAAGATTAAGTGGCATAAGGAATCAAATAGCATTCCATCTGTTTATCCGCAGGGTTAAAAGTTTTCAAGGAATAATATAGTCTAATCCATTTGTCAGAGGACTCTTACCTGTAGTATCTGGACTGAAGGTAAGTTGAGCACACAGCTTTTGACACATGACTAGCAGAACCAAAGTCAATAACCTTGACCCTGTATGGCTGCCGAGATGGATCCACCAACATGATATTTTCTGGCTTGAGATCAGCATGGATCAAACCCAAGCTTTTCAATTTCATGAGAGCTGTGGCTACCTGCTGTAATATTGGCCTGATGTACTTAAGAGGCAATGGACTGAACTTGTTTTGCTTTAAAAAATCATACAAGTTCTGTTCTAACATCTCAAAAACCAGGCAGGTGTGGTTCTTGTGCTGGAAACATTCGTAGGCTCGGACAAAGTTGTAATCATCTGCACTTTCAGTGCTTAACCGAGCCAAGATGCTTACTTCTATCTGACCTTGCCTGGCATAAGAAGGATGGTTTTTAAGGATCTTGATGGCCACAATTTCATTGGTGCCACGTTTCCAGCATTTAACTACTTGCCCAAAGGTACCACGGCCAAGAAATTCTAATACTTCGTATGTGTTGGTCATGGAACATAGCACTTCATGTTGTACCAACTGGTAATCCCCTTCACTGTTGGAGCCACTATTTTTGGATGTGGCAGTGGACGTCGTTGTGGTGGCTACTGTGGCCCCACTGGCATTATTCTGAATCATCGGTGGATGCTCTTCAATAATCTGAACACTGCTTGTGTTCTCGATTTCCTCACTTTTCCGTTTAAGTCCACATTTTTGGTAGGTATCCAAAAGGCTCACAGTGCTTCGACGCATCAGGTTGTGTGGTCCACCCAATGCCTGCCCAGATACTGCAACCACACCAGAGGTGCTATTGGCGGATGTCACCACAATGTGCCCTGTGCTGGCTGGGAAGATGATGGTCTGCTCATAAGGGATGCTGGGGTTTGGAATCTGGAGAGAGGCATTGATGGCAGCGGCCGCTTGAGAAGATTGCACGTTTTTGCTCTGACTGTAGACCTTGCTATGTGTGCCGTACCCAGTCATATCCCAGTTAGAACTTGGTTCTACTTTTAGTTTCTTCACGCTACAGAAGGCACTTGATTGAAGAGTATGAGGGGAGAAAACTTGCACATGGGAGGCCATACCTGCATCGGGAGACAAGAGGAAATGATAATTAAGTTGTACTACTGGACAACATTAATCCCAAATTACTCAAGGTTATATACAACATTTTAACCTTTAAAACCAATAACAATACAGTTAAAATCCACAATGAACAAAAGTCACAAAATGTAAAATCCCAATAACATCTACTCAGCCAATATGTTCAGACAATGCACATCAGTATGATTGGGAAAAAAAACTGATTATGAAAAACATAAATGATGGGAGTCATCTTAAGCTATTTAGGAAAAATGTTCAGGTGTCACAAGACAACGCCCCCCCCTTCCTACTTTCTTTGCCACTCTGTTTTCTCTAGGCTATCACCAGACAAAGGAGTGATAGAGCTTTTCTGTTAATGCAAAACCTCTCATTTGTCTAGTGTCACAGAAGTTATATTTGGTTCAAGGCAGAAAATTAAGGATATCTAACTAGGTTTCTAAATACTAGCAAGGGTCACTAAATTTGAAGATAAATTTACTGATTTATTTTATTTTTATTCATTATATTTATATAGCCGCCATCTCACAAAATATGACATCTTACAAAATGTAAATGTTCCAAGATATTAGAGATCCATGGCAGGACTATCTATCAATGCAAGTGTGTGTGAGAGAGACACAGTGTTATGTGGTGGGGAAGGGTCTATATTACGACTAAAACACTGGGGAAGAGTTTAAATATTTTCACCTCAATGGCATTTTCTCAATGTAATCCTAAAAGGCTATTTGCTGCACTAGGAAAAAAGGTATTACTTGAAAATATATGTCATGAAGCTGGATTTTATTTTATCCCTCATTTGGCAACTCATGAGACATCTACTTAATGTTACTTTTATGGTTGATCAACTTGAATCAAAGCTGCCTTCCTAGCAGTGACATCATTACGAATAGATAGTAATTTAAAAAGATGAGTCAAAAGGATCCACCCAGCAGTCACAGAAAACTGAAAGAGATCAATTACTAAATCCCTGGATGATGCTGGAGCAATTAATCGTGAATTCATTATTTTATTTCTTAGCTGTGTTCATCACACTAGAGCAAAAAGCACTTGAGCCACTGAGAATAAAAACAAAGGAGTCAACGAATAAAAACTGAAGCAAAATTCACCTCAATGTAAAACATAATGAAATAACAACACAGAGACTAAAATAAGTACTGTGCGTGTCTATGGCATGAGTGTGTGTGCTTGTGTATTAGATATAAATAAAATACCACATAGAGAAAACTACTTAACGTAAGATAAGACGCCTGAGAGAGTAGAAGATATCACAGCAGTTACCAAATGGGTAGCCCTGGAGAGGATACTCCAAACGGACATCACAAAAGCTGTGCTGAATCAGCAGTTTGGGTAAGAAGAAACAAAAGAAGGTATTCCTTCAGGTTCCAAGACATGGAAGGCTTTAGAGATGAACACCTGCCATTTCAGCTGGTGTCCCCAAACAACTCAAAAGCAAGAAATACAACACAAAAGTAGCACAATATGATCATAATGGCAGTTCCCATCAATACCATAACAGTCATATTTTGTACTAATTCTAGCCTTCACAGGCAAACATACAAGCAGCATGTTTCAACATGAGATTAACAGGACACCATCATATCCAAGCTGTAGATAGCAGATTGTTGTCTAAGGAATTGAAGGCAGGCACCAGATAGTGTCTGTTGACAAAATCTAGGTTGAGATCAGCAGATGAGAAGTCTGGAAAGCACTTTTTAATCCAAGACCAGGGACAAGGTACTAGCAAAAAGCAGAAACATCAAGTAAATAAAAGACATAAATATACAGAATCTATAGAAGGGATGGGATCTCTTCCACTGCCTAGAGTTGCTTGGCAGTGAGATAGGCAGTGACAAATTGGAAATATAAATAAATAAACTCCTAATCCAGGACCTCAGGCAAGAAAAAACCTAATGAAAAAGATGAATCTAGAAGCACTCCCAATATACAAACCTGATCTTGCAGGGAAAATTCACGGCTTCCAGAACACCAGATAGATGTATTACATACTAACAGTACTTCTGTCTAGTCTGCATCCAGTTCCATTCCTAATGATGGATACTTTTCAAACATTTGACAGAGGAGAACTGTGCAAACTGACCAGGGAAGGAGGTAGTCTCATTTTCACATGATTACTTATCAGCAGGCCTACATCTGTGACCAACATATTGGCTCTGCACAATAAGTGCTGCTGGTGGCCAACAATTAAACCAGCCTATGCGCCAGCTATATCTGTCAATATCTGTCAATCCATGTGCTTTTAAAAATAAGATGACTGACCTCTTGGATAAGGATAGTACAATTATAACAAATACTCCTACAAGGTATTACTTTCCTATAACTGACTTATACTTTCAAATAATTACAGATAGGTTGGGTTCATCTGAATGGTCCCTTCTAGCTAAACAAGGACTACCTGTATAAGTTAAGTAATTGCTGTTCCAGACAGCTGTGGTGTTCACATGTTCCTGACCTGAAAATCCATAAAATCTTCTGGAGCTAAACTCAGATCAGCTCTGTTTGAAATCTTAAGTTCAATAGGAAATTTTAGCCATAAATAGGAATAGCTGCTGAGAGATCTGGGGAGAAAGGAAGAGAAACCAGAATTCACTATATTTAATTTTCCATGATTTTCCACACATGCATACTGTTCTGTGTTTCATTTATTGGCTTATAACAAATACTCCTACAATATATTAATTTCCTATAACTTATAGTTTTAAATAATTACAAATAGGTTGGGTTCATCTGAATGTTCCCTTCTAGCCAATACAGAAATATTACAGATAGGTTGGGTTCTGCTGAGAGATCTGGGGAGAAAGGAAGAGAAACCAGAATTCACTATATTTAATTTTCCATGATTTTCCACACATGCATACTGTTCTGTGTTTCATTTATTGGCTTATAACAAATACTCCTACAATATATTAATTTCCTATAACTTATAGTTTTGAATAATTACAAATAGGTTGGGTTCATCTGAATGTTCCCTTCTAGCCAATACAGAAATCCCTTGTTATCCGTCTCCCCCTCCACAAAATTTGAAATGGCCCCTGATGGTTGGTCTGAAGTTGGGGCAAGGAAGTTGTTCAGCAATGAGAATTAACAATAAAAATAATAAACAATAAGACTGGCTTCCTCTAATTTTCATAGCTTACCGGTATAGAACTAATATCATATTTATTAATCTGATAGATGCCGAACAATATTTATTCTGCAATGTTCTTCTGACACTGATACCCTTAAGTGTAATATATAATATGTAATTAGGAGAAATTCACATATACACATATGTTTATCATTTGAAGAATGGAAAATTGAGTGACTGCTTGCACGGATAATCCTTCCTATTTCAAATACCTCAGGCAAATTTTTATTATCACTTGACATCACCCCATATACTTTTCAGAGGATATGCTTCCCACATTCAGAATTGGGTCATCAAGTTATAATAAATTTACTTTAGGCAGACACTGATGAGTAATAAAACGTTTTTTTCTTTTCTTCCCACATTTTATTATATATTATAACAAAACATAATAAGCAAAATAAGCAAAAATACAAAAGGTAAACAAACAATTACGTACTCAATTAATGAATTACAAAAACCCTAAATGGAATCAAGAATGGGGGGGGGGAGAAACACCCCAAAACTAAAAGAACGCAGAAAAAAAATTAGAAAACCAATATTAAGTATCTAAAAACATATATTAAATGTGTGGAAATAACTGATTTACAGTCCAGGCTTCTGTTTACTTTTCTCTTTCTTTCTTATTATCCATGATTATTAATTTTGAAGTTGCTAATACTGTTGTGTATATCTTTATTTTATCTTCTTTTAATTATTTTAGCATAGCAAAATTAATGTGATCTACTAAAATTAATTTTCAATTTATAAATTAAATGAATAAAATAATGTATAAGAAACCTAAGGCATAATATAGTTTGTTTGGTTGTGGCTATCCCTGCCATTTCATGGATTACATAGTGATATCTACAATTTCATACTGAATCCAAAATGTAAGTGTCCTCTCCTACGTCTACAAAATCTGGGCTACAAAATCCAGACAACCACTAGATGGAACAGGTCATGTTTTCTGAACCTCTTTGCCACCATCTGTATTTCGGCAGGCCTGTTGGGGTAGCGCTTTCGCCATTGCACTGTCTTCCTGGATATCAGGAATGGCCGTAATTAGGAGCTAGTCTTAAAAGGTACAGTATGGTATTTTGTGAAGATTTAGGAAGAAGTTACACTGAAGCATCTTTTGATTCTGAAGTCCGACTATATGTTTTCCCATATACGTACAACTTATGTTCTAGGGTTACACGTGAATGAATGTGATACACTAACTACTGTGATTATAACATCCTCAAGTGCCAGGCACCAAGGTTTAGTATTGCAACTGTGGAAGAACTACAAAAAGGTTGAAAAGACAAGTGAGCTTTATCGTTGATATTCATGGTGGGAGCACTTGCTAAGAAGCTACAAATGTAGGGTTTGCAACTGTGGAAAAGGGAGGCAGGCTGTTTTGGGCAAGAGTCCAGTACAACCTGGAGGTTTTAAAATAGAAAGATGGTACAGCTATTCACAAATGCACAGCTGTGTACAGGCCCTGAGAATGAGGTTTCCCAGAAAAATAGAAGACTGATCAACTATTCCCACTGTGAAAGTCTTGCTCTCAAATGTTGTCCCATGCCCCAGGTCAAAGCTGGAGATGGAGAAGAAATGCTGCAAAGTTGAGCCTATTGTTTTGAAGACACTCCTAACAGTAAAGGTGATCATACAAAAAGGTAACTCAGTACAATAGCATCCAGAAGTTACCGTCAATAACAACCCAAATTTCATAAAAGAGATAGAGAAATAAGAAGCTGAGGAATTGTCTGCTGCAGATGTCACAAATACAACCGAGGGGGGTGGGGAAAGAACTAGTTTAGCTTGGCCTTAAGGAAATTTTGTTCCTCTTCAACTCTGTATTAAGTGCCA